ATTTAACTTTTTTTTTTTAAAAGACAGAATCTCACTATATAACTCATGATGTTGTGGGACTTACTATGTTGACCAGGCTCGCACATCACTGCCTCTACCTATTGCGTGTTGGTGTTAAAGGTGTGAGTCACCGCACACAGACATAGCCCATCTCTGATGTCTGCTAGTGATCCCCTAGGATCCCTTTCCCCAGAACTGGGATTCTATACTCGCACTGCCATGCCTAGCTTGTTTCACATGGATACTGGGGACCTGAACTCATGTCCTTGTACATGCAAGGCGAGCACTTTGCTGACCAGTTAATCTCCCAAACTCATTTTTTCTTTTATCTATGTTTTTGTCAAACATGTGTATGGGTGTGCATATGCCATAGTGTGCTTGTGGAGGTCAGTTTTCTCCATCTTTGTGGGAGTCAGTTCTCTCAATAATGTAGATCCTGTGGTTTGTTTGATTCAGGTTATCGGATTTGATAACAGGTAATAGGTTTTTTGTAACCTAGGTTTCTTCACCCACGAGTAAGCCAGATCAAGCTGAACTGAACAAGTATAACAACAGATTTATTGAGCAGATCAGCTCTTGATAGGGTTCTCTAGTCCTAGAGATCTAGCTTGGAGAAGCTGCATGCTTCAACCGAAGCAGGGAGATTGTATAGCCTGTATGTAGGCGACGGGTTGATGATGTGTTCACCACAAGCTGGGTTTGTGCCCAAGCGTGGTCAAAAGCTGTTGTAGAAGTTGCTAGGAATTCAGAATTGGGCTTTTTGGTGCCTTTGTTGAAGAGTCTCTGAGTTTAGCTGGAGGGAAAGATATAGGAATGGGGCTTTCCCAATCATGCGGGGGTGAGATGGAAGTTCCAACTGAACAACTGAGCTATTTTGTTGTTGTCGTCATTGTTATTAGTATGTTTGTAAATGTGTTGCACACATGTTTTGTCTTGCTGTCATAGCAAGCATGTGAAAGCCAGAGGATAACTTTGTTTTTCATACTTACATTGTTTCTGGAGATAGAACTTAGTTTACCAGGCTTGCTGAGCCATATTGCCAGCCATTCCTCTTTATTTTTTGCAAAGTATGTCTTTTTTTATTTTTTGGTTTTTTTCAAGACAGGGTTTCTCTGTGAAACAGTCCTGGCTGTCCTGTGACTCACTCTGTAGACCAGGCTGGCCTGGAACTCAGAGATCCACCTGCTTCTGCCTCCCGAGTCCTGGGATTAAAAGTGTGTGCCACCACTGCCCAGCTCTAGATTGCTTTTTAATGTTATTTGTTTCTGAGACAAAGTACCTGACAGAAAGAAGGAAGGTCCAGGAATGTTGACTTATATAATCCATTTCCCCCAGGCCTCCAATAACCCAGTTTAAGGGTAGCTCTCCTGCTTGAGAATCTTCACCTCACAGATACTCCCCTAGATGTGCTAGAATCTCCTGGGTGATTAGCCATTACAGTTCTGTCCATAGCAATTGCATCTATAATGCTTTCTTGTAATACTTTATATTTTGGGTCTCTCTCCCTTCTTTCTGTTTTATTGTTTTTGGGGTGTGTGTGTGTGTGTGTGTGTGTGTGTGTGTGTGTGTGTGTGTGTCTCTCCTTTGATGGCCTAGAGTAGGCTGGCCTCGGATTTGTGGCAGTGCTTGTTGCAGCCTTTCCAGTGTTGGGATTACAGATCTGTATCACTGTGCATGACACTTGTATCTCCTTTTTTGTTGTAGTTCTTGTCTCTTCTTATTTGGTTACCCGTGCTTTGTCAGTTTTCCACAACTGAAGTATATCCCTAGCTTTGTTTTAGTGTTTAGACAGGATCTCTATAGCAGAGGCTGGCCTGTTTATTACCATAGTCCTGGCCGGCCTGAACTTGGCTCAGTCCTACTGACTCTTGTGTCCTCTGTGCTGCCAGGCCAGGTTTTACTGTTCATTTGTGTTTTTCTTTCTCAGACAGCTTTGTAAAAAAGCTAGGGTATTCTTTCTACCATTAAGCTTCATCTCTAACCACATTCAGTTACTTATATAGTTTCTTTCCTTTGTTGATATTTACTGTTTCATTTATTACAGGTACATTTTCATTCTGTTTCATTTGTATTTTATTTAATTTCGAGTCTCACTATATATCCCTGACTGGCCTGGAGCTCCACATGGAACTAGACCAGGTTGGCCTCAGATTCGTGGAGATTTTGAGATCTGCCTACTTCATATATATTTTAAAACTCTTCTGCTATCTCCAAAGCTGGGTAATCTTGGAGTTGACATTTGTTGACTTCCTTTGATAACCTTTTTTTCTGGTTCTTTACTGGTCAAGTAATGTAGATCATCTCTTTTATATTCCTTTGTAGGGACATAATTTTAGTAGAATCTTTGTCTAGTCATTACTTAGCACCTCATAAAACAAGCATGGTAGAGCATGCAGAGAATTCTAGCACTAGAAGGTAGAGACAGAAGGATCAGAACTTCAACATATCCTACATAGGAAATTGAACAAGACTGTCTTAAAAATTAAAAAAAATGAAATTTATATGTTAATATCTTTATGTATGTATATATGCGTGTGTGTGTGTGTGTGTGTGTGTGTGTGTGTGTGTGTGTGTGTTTGTGTGTAGAAGTTCAGGTACATACATGCCATGATGTATGTGTGGAGATTGAGGACAATCTTGAATGTGATGGTGGGTCCTCATTATTCACCTTGTTTGATCAGGGTCTTTTGTTTCAAATTGCTTTCCAGGCTTGTTGGCCAGTAAACTGCAGGCTTTTTGGCACTCTGTACTTTGCTCAGCTGTGCATTGGTTTTGGGGATCTGAGCTCATCTTACTTGCTTGGCAAGTAACTTTACCCATTGAGCTGTCTGTCTTACCAGCCCTGAAATTGAAAATTTTAACATTAGTTGGTTGATTGGTTGGATTCAAGCCACCTTGTATGTATGTTGAAAACCTATTTAGTGACCTTTCTTTTGGAGACAGGGTTTCTCTGTGTAGCTTTGGAGCCAGTCCTGGAACTCAGTTTGTAGACCAGGCTGGCCTTGAACTCATAGAGATCCTCCTGCTTCTATTTAAATCTCATTTTGTTTTTATGTCTCTCTCTCTTTTTTTGTTTTCCCCTAGCCGGGCTGGCTAATGGCTTGCTTGCCCTGTGTATTTGTGGGGCAAGGTCAACAAAAGATTTGGGTTGGTTTTATAACTATAAGAGTAGGTTCTTCTTGATTTGCTCTGTTTGGGATTCAGATCTTACTTTATGGACACCAAAGTTCTGAACCCTGTGTTGTGTTCTTAGGTATTATGGCTACAGGAGCTTCTAAGTTGACTGTGTCTTGTCTTCAGGGTAACACTTAAAAAAAAAAAAATGATATACTTTCATGCCTTTTTTCCCCCAAGAATCATTTCCCCTAGAATGATGCTTTCTTATCTGTCATGTATTTCATTCAGGTAGCAGTTACTTGTATTCTCCAGAATTTACAGTTATTTTATTACAGGTTTGTCCTCTCACAAGCTTACCACTTTCAGAAATCTAAATTCATTTATTATAGATTTAAAAAATGTATGATAGAGTTCAATTGATTGTTATTTTTCCTATTAAATTTTTGAGACAGGCCTTTATGTAGCGCACTTGTGCCTCAGATTTGGTTTTGAGCTCAAGAAATAAACCAGGTTATTGCAGTTCATACCTTTAATCCCAGCAGAGGAGTGGTGGTACATGCCTTTAATCCCAGCATTTGGGAGGCAGTGGCAGACAAATCTCTAAGTTCTAGGCCAGCCTGGTCTATAGATAAAGTTAAACCCTCTCCCAACCCCCCCCCCCAAAAAAAAAACCAGTTTTCTTCTGCCTCTCAAGTGTGTATTGCTATGCTCAGCAAGATTTTTTAAAAATGTGTTTTAGGATTCATTTTTATTCATGTGTTACCTGTGTGTATGCCATTTGTATGTAAGCATGCATGTTTGTGCCTGAAGAGGCCAAAAGAGAATGTCAGAGCCCCTGGAATGGAAGTTGAGATATTGTGAGCCACCTGATGTAGGTGGGCATAGGTGGGCACTAGGAATCTAACTTGGATTCTCTGGAGCAGCATCTTTCTCAAGCTGGTTCTTGCCTGTATTAGAAACCAAAGTGATGTATGTAGGTAAATGTCACAACCTTGTTTCTGGCTTATATTGAAAGTTGGGTTTATGTTTATGTTTTTTTTTTTTTTTAAATGTTTTCTCACTAGTCCATGCTATCCTTGAGAATGGTAGTCCTGCTTCAGCCTCCTGAGTGCTGAGATAACTGGTATTTCTTACCATGCCTATTTCTTTTTTTCTCCCCAAGGAAGTCTTGTCATGTTTTCAGGGGTGGTCTCAAATTTCTGCACTTAATTCATCTTCCTGTTATAACATTCCAAGTATTCTGGTCCTCTCAATATCTGCTACTGCATCTGACTTTTTAACCCTGAGACAGGGTTATTCTGTATAGCTTTGGAGCCTGTCCTGCAATTTACTCTGTAGACTAGGCTAGCCTTGAATTTACGGAGATCCTCCTGCCTCTGCCTCCCTAGTTCTGGGACTAAAGGCATGTGTTGGATACCATGGCAGGGCAGGGCAGGGCAGGGCAGGATTTTTGAAGCATACTTTTAAAGAAGTTGTTAATCATACTAGATTATTTTGGGGTATGCAGTACTTTAAAGCCCTTGCTCCTTTTGCAGAGGACCCGGGTTAGGTTTCCAACAACTACATGATAGGTCACAATCATCCATAGTTCCAGTACCAGGGGATCTGGTTCCCTCTTCCAGTCTCCATGGATACTTGCACACACATAACATGCATGTATGCAGAGGACTCAAACATAAAAATGAATCTTTAGAGAACAAGGTATTTGCAGTGAATAGCTATTTTGTGTGAAGTGTTTTGGAATTTTCTTGGTGGCAATGAATAGAAATGTTACTCTATTTTTGTTAGTTCGAAGTTATAGGAAAGATATGGCTTTGGTTTTCTGGAAAAAAAAAAGACTTCATTGCCTTTTCCTTTTTTTATTTTTAATTTTCTTTAAATAGAGATGTGAGCTGTGTCCCCATAAAGATGGAGCTTTAAAAAGAACAGATAATGGGGGTAAGTACAGTCTTTCAAAAATGTTGAAAATTAGAATGGTATAGTACTGTTCATATTATTTTATCACACTAAATATTGTTGCTAAAATATTAATGATGTAATAATTAGTTGGAGACAAGATCTTAACTATGTGATCTAGATTATCTTCTTACTTCATTGTCCCATGTTCTGGGATTATAGGTATGGTTTAACTCATTTTCTGTATTCACACAGTTTGTCTTCATATTGTATATTGGCGATTTTATGCAGAATGATCTGCAGTCTTCTATTTGAAACCTTGATTTATCTTTTGAGACAACGTTCTTGTTATGTATTCTTGGCTGTCCTGGAACTCACTGTGTAGACCAGGCTGGCTCAGAACTCACAGAGATCTGCCAACCTCTTCCCCCCCTGGGATTGAAGATGTGTATAATCACTCATGGCTTGGTTTTTGTTGTTGCTTTTTAAGACAGCCTTACTCCTAGGTCCTGTGTTTACAGGACCAACCATACCTGGCAAAGTATTCTCTCCAATGTTGGGTACCAATTACATCTGGCAAGGTGTTCTTTTTGAGGATTCTGAGCATTTTTTCTTCTGAAAACTCAGACTGTTAAAATCTAACACCTTTTGAATGTCCATTTAGTGATACTTAGCAGGTAAAATCAGTGTAAATATTTAGAAGGCTAAATCTCCCATATCTCCAGTTTCCAAGCATTTTGGATGAGGATTACCCTATATTTATTTTCATCTCCATTTTGAGTTATCTTTCCCTGAGAAATTTATCTGGTTTTTCTTTTCCCTTTCTTCTGTTTGTTTGTCCTTTTCTTTCTTGTGTCCTTTCTTTATTTTCTTGGGTATAGTTCAGGGCTTAGCATTGTCTGTAGCTTAGCCTGGCAACTCCTCTGTCTCATGTCTTCTAGGATTACAGGAATGTTCTACATGCTTGGATTAAAGTGCTTATTCCTTTATATAATCAGTACTATTCTTAACTATATAGGCATGAGCTTGTTAAATTATGAAAATTGACTGATAATAGAAGTATAAAGATAGAGTTTCTTTTTCTTTTTATTCCTGTTGAGATGGCCATAAAATATTTCTCCCTTATTTTGATAGGAATTACATTGGTTTATTTTTGAAAGTAAAATCAACCTATTTTCCTAAAATAATAATAGTATGAGGTTCATTTGGTTAATATTTTGTTAAAGGTTAAAGGTAATGGTTTTGGGGATTAAAAATAAAAATGAAAATGTTGGCATCTTTTCATAAGGGGTGTTAAGCAGTGACTTCCCCTTTTTACAGTGTTTTAAGGCTTTGGCATTACTGTTATGACGATCCCAATAAAACTTTGGGAATATTCGGAGGTATTTCTATAATATTGGAATTTTATAAACTGTAAATATTTTGGTAGTGTCATTGAGAAATATCCTGAGTTTCTTCAAGGTTATAAATTGTTTTTAGTGATTAAAGAATTTAAAATTTTCTATTTTGTTGGTTTCATTTGTAAAGTTTGGGCAGTTTATTAATTTCTCTAGTTTTAAAAACTTTATTGGTAAAAGTTGATTATTTTCTTAAGATTTTAGACATGGTCATGTACTATTTTGTTCTGAGAAATGTGTCATAGGTATTTTTTTATTGAATGTATATCGTAGAGTGTACACAAACCTAGACAAGTAGCTTGCTAGACACATTATGTAGCTTATTGCCTCTAGGTTACAAATACACATCATATTGCTATACTACTGAATAATGCAGATACAACATAGTGATAAGTTGTTACAAATCTAAATATGGAAAGGGTATAATATCTGATATCAAAAATAAAAACAGTTCATCTGTATAGGGCACTATATAGGTAGGCATGAGCTTATGAAGTTTGTGAGCATTGAAGTTGTCCTGGGTGAGTAACTGAGCCAATAGAGAATAAAGGTCTAGGACAGGAAGGTATTCTTTCTTGGTTTTTTGAGATAGGGTTGTTTTGTTTGTTTCTGGGTGCAGCCCTGGCTACTCTAGAATTCACTCTGTAGACCACTCAAAGTGTTACAGAACTATGTAAAATATTTTCTATAAATGACATTGTGGTGTTCACCAAAAATACTTGCTTATTTAAAAAGGAAGAGAGAAAGAAAGAAAGAAAGAAAAGAAAGTCTTACTATGTATCCCTGGTTGCCCTGGAGCTCTGTATATACTAAGCCTGCCTCAAACTCAGAAAGAGATACTACTGTCTTTTCCTTCCAGTGCTGGGACTGAAGACGTGTGCTATCACATATATCCTTTTTTTTTTCCTTTTTAAAAATCTTTTAAGGTTTCTGTTAGAAAGTTAAGCAGAAACAACATACATTAGCTTTGTTGTGCATAAGTTAGGTGTATCAATATCACTGTTTCCCACCTTCACCTAATTAATGATAGATCTCCTTGAAAATTTCGGGAAAGCCATATTTATGGGCTGAGTAAGTAAGTAGCTTGGTGATAGAGTGCTTGCCTAGCATGAATTCAATCTCCAGTACTGCAAAAAACCAAAAACCACTGCCACCAAGGAAACATGCAGAGCTATTAGAACAGAACATTTTAGTATACTCCCTTAAGGGTCTGGCTTTTTTTTTTTTTTTTTTTTAATGTTTGACATTTTATTTTTAAATGAAAATAGAAGGGGTAAAAAAATAAAAACAAGAGTATAATTGACCAATAGTATAATTGCTTGTTATTGCTATTTGATGTTGCTGTATTTGGGTAACATTTGAATGCTAGTGTAGTAAGTTTATTGAGACTAGCATCACTATAAACATGTTAATAATATGCACGGGGATGCATAATGGACATGTAATTTCAGAAGGCACCAGAAAAATTTGCCTCCTTAGGTCATAGTTATATATATGTTGTGTCTCATTGATCAAAATGTTGTTACAGTTTGCCTGACTGTACTGTCATTTGAAAATACAGTTAGTATTAACTTAAACTGCTGAACATTATAATTTGTCAGCACAGTTCTGTAGAGTTCTGGCTGTTTACTTGTCATGTTGCTATTGGCTTACTGGGAGAATATGGTACCACATTTTAGTAGCCTAGTAGAATTGCCAGATGCTGAACTTGAAGCTGTCTCTACTGAATGCACTTTGCTTTATAAATTGTAGGCTGTGTGTTCTTACTGAGCATCTTGTTATTTGTTGAATAGCTTTTTGGTGTGTTAAAAAGATTATAGCTTTTCCTTAGCATGTAACATTCATTGATCATTGTATGTCTCCTTATGCATTAGTTGAAGTTTTTTGAGACTCATGAATTACATATTCATGTGTCTTAAGTTGTGAAAATTTGGAACCATTTTCTCTACATACCCCCATTCATCTTTTTGCTTCTCTGAACTCAGGAAAACCCTTTACTCCATTCTTTAGGTGTTTACCCACACTTTCGTGTTTCATCCAGTGATATTATCAGTTGGCTTACCTATACTTTTACTTTTTTCCTTCTCTTTATTTGTATTAGCTGTTGGCATTGTGTTATTTTTATTTTCATTTTAATAAAACTTCAAGATTTTTGTTTGGTTCTTTTTAATAACTTTACTTCTTCAGTATATATTTCTTGGGCATGTGAATGAGTTGTATTTAAAAAATGGTGTTTTTTTTTTTTTTTTTTTTTTTTTTTTTTGTTTTTTGGGTATGTGCACATGAGTGTGTATACCTGTGTGTGCATGTGAAGTCTTGAGGTTGATGTTGAGTGTCTTCCTCTATCCACTTTGGAACCTGAAACTCACTGATTGATGACTAGACTTGAGTAGCTAGCACCCCTCTCTCCTGTGTACTTTCCAGCAGAATACCTGGCTTTTTATGTGGGTGCTGGGGAATCTGAATTCAAGACCTTATGTTTTAACACAGCAAGCACTTTACTTGTTGATCTATCTCTACTACCCCCCCCCATATTTTCCTTATAAATTGTAACTTATTTTAGGATATATGTATTTATTTATTGTTGTGGAGTTGTATGACTCAGTTCTAGGATGCTTGCCTAGCATGCTTTGAGATACATGCTCTAAGCATTGCAAAACAAAGTCAGGTGGTAGCAGCACACTCCTTTAATCCCAGTACTCAGGAGGCAGAGGCAAGAGATCTCTGAGTTTGAAGCCAGCTTGGTCTGTAGAGCAAGTTCTAGGTCAGCCAGGGCTACATATAGAAACTGTGTCCCAAAAAAAGAAAAGAGAGAAAAAAAAGTTTCAAAAGCAAAATGTAGATACAATTGAATGTTACAATGGGTTAACTCTGGAGCAGTTGTTTGCTGTGTTCTTATACTTTTGTTATATAATTGCTGGAGAGACTCTTCAGTTAGTGTTTTGATGATAATTTCCTTGAACATCTAGTACAAAATGGGGGGGGGGAGATTAAGAAACACAGCCTGTGTTTTGCATTCTTTCTGTGGTGTTTTCATTGTATTTATCACTATGACTTACCCTGTCACTTCCTGTTTCTACCATATTTAGATTCTAACTAGACATAAAAATTGATGGCTGTCTCAGGTCTTTTTAGAACAGTGGTTCTTAAACTGTAGATCATGATTCCTTTGGCAGCTCTGTCTTCAGACATACTTACATTATGATACATAACAGCACAATTAACAGTTATAATGTAGCAGCGAAAATAATTTTCTGCTTGGAGATCACTGTATTAAAGGGTCACAGTGTTAGGGAGTTTGAGAGCTACTGCTGTGCCAGAGCTAGTTCTCCTAGGCTTTTGGGTGCTTGGTGAGTGCTTCAATTATAACCTTTTCCTCCAGGCCTCTGTGGGCTTGTTTGCCTTTCATTAAATTTAAAGGCTACTTTCTCTGAATGAACTGTGAGAGAGCAGAAGGACAGGCACCTCTCAGTCCCTGGTTAGCTTTCAGACTCTTTGGAGCAGTCAGTGACAACAGTTCTTGGCACATAAAATTTATTCTGGTTCTTGTGCCATCAGAGGACAGAGCCTCTACACTGGAAATTAGTTGTTTCATTTAAGACCTCTGAACCCAAAGCATTCATATGATAAGGCAAAGAAAGATGCCAAAGAGCACTTATCTTTTTTTTGGGGGCCTTTTCCTAAGTTGAGTAGGTACTTGGTTGCTGCAAGCAATTTCTATGTAATTTTTGTTGTTTCTGGTGTGGCACCTACCGTTGTCGTTCCTGCCTCTTCCACCATACTTTATTGGTATAAATCTGTATATTTTGCATCCTTGTGTATATATACATAGGCATATATTTATATCTATACAGTCTCATGGCTAGGCTACTGTTCTACCTTAGTCTCTCTAGTGCTGGGATTACCACTGTGAATGCCCCACCATGCCTTACCCCTTTAACTATTTCTAAGGTTTTGGGAAATAAATCTTAGTTTGTTAGGTTAGTTTGTATCAGTGTTGATTTATTCCTGACCATTGGTTTCTTTCTCCTTCCCTCCCTTTTTTTGTCTTCATATTCCCACTCCCATATTATAAGTGCAGCCATTTCACTGTGCAGTAGTTTCTTTTGATTTGTTTATCTTTATTTTATGTATATGTGTGTTTTGCCTGCAAATATATATGTGAACCACATGCATGCCTGGTGCCTGCAGAGGCCAGATGATGTCCAGTCCCTGGAGTTTAGGACAGTTGTGAGCTGTCATGGGGTTGCTAAGAACTGAACCAGGGTCCTCTGAAGAGCAGCAAGTGCTCTTAACCACTAAGCCATTGTTCCAGCCTTTGTGCTTCCTTTCCCTCCCTTCCCTCCCTGGCTGGCCTGGAACTCTCTGTGTAGACCAAACTGGCCTTGAACTCACAGATCTGCCTGCTTGCCTGCCTTCCATGTGCTAGAATTAAAGGCCTCTACCAGGCCTGTGTTTTCTTTATCTTTTTTTTTTTTTTTTTTTTTTTTTTTTTTTTTTTTCCTTTGAGACGGGGTTTCTCTGTGGCTTTGGAGCCTGTTCTGGTACTTGCTTGGGACCAGGTTGGCCTTGAACTCAAAGAAATCTGCCTGCCTCTGCCTCCAGAGTCCTGGGACTAAAGGCAGGTACCATCAACGCCTGGCCTGGCCTGTGTTTTCTTTTTCTTTTTAAAATATAAGCACTTATTTTTTTTTATTAATTTATTTTTTAATTTTTATTTTACATGTCGATCCTAGTTCCTTCTCCCTCCCCATAAGCACTTATTTGTAGTCAGTATCCATACATATATCTTCCTGCCCCACCCCCTGTTCATGCTTCCTTTTGTAATAATTTTCCTTTAAGGAAAGTGATGCTGCTTTGGTATGAAAGTACTCTTGACTTTATTTGGTGGTGGTTTTCAGGCATCTTTATCTTTCTTACTGAGCAACCTTGCATTCTTTGTATTTGACCATAATAATAAACACAAATACTCCGATAACTTCAAATTGTAGATTTGATTTTCTTGTTTCTGCTGGATTTCATTTGTGCTTTCTTACTTTCATGTATTTAGTGGTTTTCTAGAAATTTTAATCAACAAATTACAGACAGCATTTATGACTAAGTTGTAAAAGTTATCATTTTCCCCTCTGATGTATATTTATTTGTTTGATGCCAAGGGTGCTTGTTTAAGATTGCTGTGTTCAAAGTTTAAAGTTTAAGATGCTTAAAGCCTATTTGTGATCTTTCTGAGGTCCATGGTATATCCGATTTTTAGTCCTAGCTTCTAGGTACTATTTTCCTTTGTCTGTGGCTGTACCTCACCTTCCTGAAATTTCATCTTTTTCTAGTTTTTCATTAACTCTTAACATCAGCTCTGTAGCCTCAGTCACATTTTTATAATTAAAAGAAACTTTAGCATCAACTGGTAATATTTCAGATGGCAATTTAAAATAGGAAAATGACAACTGTTGCATGAACATTCAAAATGTTCACAAAATTATAAAAACTATTATTTATTTTTATTTTCTTGATGATGGTGAAAATGGAACCAACCCTAACTCTTGTGTAGACTAGGCCAGTGTTCTGCCCAATGATAACAATTTCCAAACTTTTTTTGTTTTTTGTTTTGTTTTTTTGAGACAGGGTTTCTCTGTGTGGCTTTGGAGCCTGTCCTGGAACTCGCTCTGTAGACCAGGCTGGCTTTGAACTCAGAGATCCGCTTGTCTCTGCCTCCCGAGTGCAGGGACTAAAGGTTTACGCCACCAATGCCCAGCCAATTTCCAACCTTTTAGGACTTGAAGCTTTAAGCTATTTAAAGCTATAAATTATTAATTGCAGAATTGGGAATGGAACCTAGAACTTCACAGATTAATCAGAGGCACCACTAACTACTGATTTATACAGCCTTCATGTTATTTAAACATTTGTTTTTAGGTTTTTTTTTTAAAATGTTCTTAACTTGGCAGTACAGTTTGATCTTCAACTCACTGTGTAGTGTTGACTGACCTGGAAACGGAGAAACTCCTTTTGAGTTAGCCTCAAGAGTGTTTATCGTGCTGGGAACTATCAGACCCGGTTTCCTAAAATTAAAGTGTTTTTCAGAAGTAGTGTTAATCTGAATTTAGTCTGCCCTTAAGATCAATGTCAGCCAGCACCTGAATACATAAGTGCTCCCTTTGTTTATGCTCAGTGCATAATAGATGCAGCCATGATTAGGAACCCTTTGCACCAGTAGTGAGCAGGTGACAATTATTACATAAATAATGCAGTAGCTAGATTTTTATTATGGTTTTGTTATGAATTTGCTTAAATAGCCATTTTAAGGGATCTTTTAAGACAGGTAGTAATTTTATTTTTGATAAAACTTGAAGAATGACAATATGTATTTATTTATTTTTAGGTTGGGCTCATGTGGTTTGTGCCCTCTATATTCCAGAGGTACAATTTGCCAATGTCTCTACAATGGAGCCAATCGTTTTACAGTCTGTCCCACATGATCGTTATAATAAGGTACAGTGGATGTCATCTTAATGTCGTTTGCAGTTTTGGTTTTGAAACTAGGAGATAGGAAGGAGGTGGGTTTTAGGTTTTAGTTGTTTCCCCCCCCCCCTTAAAAAACTAAAGACCTCCCTCTAACTTCATAGAGATTTGGAGGAAAATAGTTACCATCTTAAGCAACAGTATTAAAATAAGCTCACAAGAGTGTGAAAATCATAAAACTGTGTCATCTTTTATTCTAATGTAGGTATTTATTAATGTTCTCAGGACATTTCAATCCCTCCATACACATTTGTCCTTGAAAATTTACTGACCTCTTCCCTTATCAAGTTTCAAGGTTTTATTAGATTGGTATTAATCATCATTTTTCTGTCATTAGTCTGAAGTATTTAGGACACTAAAGCAGGAGATGAGGTGAGCTGGGGAGTTCAGGGCTTACCTAGTAACATTGAGACTCTGTGTTTTAAAATAAAAATACTTTTAACTATTTGCTTCATCTTTTCCTAATTTACTGCCCCCCAACACACGCACTTTCTTCACCGACACTGTTGTTTGATGCTGCTACTGCATTGTCAAAGCTTTTCTGCTGTTGATTGCCTTTTAGACAGTGTTACTGTGTGTGTAAATGAAGGCACATGTTGCCTCTGTTGAAGAATGTCATTGTGGTAAATTTTGAAATTTTAGATATTTTAACAATAATATTTTAAGTAATTAATATATATTTAAAACATTTGGAAAAAAACTTCCCTTTTAAATCTTTGACTTTTTCTGTGTAATTTTGTGTTTCCCATATACTGGTTTATAAAACATTTAGATTATATTACTATTTCTCTGCTTTTGAAACTTAATAATCCTGAACATATATTTGCATCAATAAATGGTGTTTCTGTCATCATTTTTCTGGCTCCTTAGTCTGTAGTACAGAGTATTGCTAGATGCAGTCAGCTGTGGAGCAGCCGCTCATAGAAGGCCCTCCTGTGGTGTCTAGTTTCATACTATTAGGATCCTTGTGAAAGGGTGTGTTTCGGAAGTTTCATTATGGTGTGGAGTTTTTGTCTAGAGTGTGATTACCAGTTAAATAATTATGTTAAGAGCGATTATGTTGCCATTAAAAGTGCTTTTGTTTTTAGGTTCTTTTTTTTTTTTTTTTTCCCCAGGTTGGTTATTGACTTTGTTTTATCACAGCATTGCCCCCCCCTTCTTCTGGGGGTTTGTTTTGCTTATTGTGTTTGGTGGAGGCAGATACTCTTGTGTCCCTGCAGGCTTCTGACTTTGCTAAGAGGGGCTGGGGTTGACCTTGAATTTGTGATCTTCCTGCTTTAATTTGCAGAAGGTTGGATTACAGGTGTGTGCCAGATGCTATCCAGAAAATAATAGCTTTCTTTTTGGAAGTGTATATATTTTTAGTATTTTTAAAGTACTTTTAATTTTTGTGCTTGAATGTGGTATATGTATGTGTGTTGTATATGTACATGTGTGTGCAGGTGTGTGTCAAGGAATTCAGAAGAAGGCATGGTCCATTCTCTATTGCTCTCCACATTTGTTCATTGAGGCAGGGTCTCTCCCTGAACTTGAAGCTTGTAGTGTTTGTTTCTATTTTTCCTCTTTTAGCTAGATTGGTGGCTAGCAAGCCCCAGCAATCCTCTCTCTTCCTTCTACCTATAGTGCTGAGATAGTTGCTTGTTACATACATACTAGATTCTGAACTCAGATCTTTTAATGGTTGCATTGCTGACTTGCCTCTCAAACCTGTATTTCTTAGTACCTTTAAAATTAATGTGAAAACCCATTTTCTTACAAATTTTGAAATAAAGTTTATCTATGAGCTGTGGGAATAGTATAGAGTTTTTCTCTTGTGCCATACTTGTATATTTTTATAAAGACTGGCATTCTTGGGCTAGAGTAGCCCAGGGGTAGAGTGTTTCCTAGTATGTGCCAGGTTCTGAGTTCATAGCTCTAGCAGCAGAAAATAGGAAGGGAGGGATGCTCTGTAATATAACTGTTAAAAGCAGGAAGTTAGTGGTACATTACCACTACATGTCTGCCAGACTCATGTTTTCTCATTTTTCCTAGAAATGTGTTTCATGGAAAAATAATAATTTTGTTTCTTTTATCTCTTTTAATTTTAAACTATTTTAATTCTTCCTTGACTTTTGTCAGTTTGATACTTTAGAATATTGTAGTTTCTAGATATTTTGTACCATATCATTCTTTTTGGACTTGTCTTGTTTCCTCCAGAAATAATTTTGTGTTCTTATTAAATCTTGTCAGGTGACACACTGAATCCAGTTTTTCTGATACCTTATAATCTTTCATCATTAGCTAAGGTGATTTCTGTCAAGTTTTTCTACTATTAGTTTGATATTTTATTTCCTTTATAATCAGTAGCCATTTTGTGGGAAAGTAATTTGCATGTAAACATCTTGTTCTGTATGCCTTCTGCCTTTTACTCATTTTGACACCCATAACTATTTCTTAATTTATTGTTAGGATTCATGGCTAATTTTGTAAAAAAAAATTTTAAACATCTTTTTGGTTTGCATTCTATTATAGTAAAAAAGCCCAATTATAGTATGGACTTAATGTGGTGCTGCCATATTTAGTTTTTAGATAGGATCACATGTATATCAAGCTATTCTCATTTGCTATGTAGTTAAGGATGGACTCAGACCATTAAAATATTTATTTGATTTATTTATTGTTATTAATGTGTATGTGTCTGCTTGTGTGTGCACCATGCATGTGCTGGTGCTCATGGAGGCCAGAACAACGTGTTGGATCTTCTGGAACTGCAGGCATAGGAGGCTGTGAGCTGGGTGAAGTGGGCATTGGTAATAATTGAACCTGAGTCCTCTGCAAGAGCAGCCAATGCTTTTTTGGGGAGCGATAAGAGGGGGTGTTCTAGACAGGGGTTCTCTATAACAGGCTGTCCTGGTACTCATTCTGTAGACCAGGCTGGCCTTGAACTTACAGAGGTCTGTTTGCCTCTGCCTCCCGAGTGCTGGGATTAAAGTCCTGTACCACCACTGCCCAACACAGCAAATGTTCTTAACTACTAAGCCCCATGATCTCAGATTTCTGTTCCTTCTTCATTTTTCCTGAACATTGGGATTATAAGCGTTGTTCATTCAGCTCTGGGGAATCAAACTCTGCTACCTGAGTCATAGTCCTATAAATTTGTATTTTATTTAATGGTTCATACTCTCAAGGAGCTAGGTTTTCTTTTTACATGAGAATGATATTAACAATCCAATGTATACACTAAATGTACTTATTGTTCTTGGGGCAAATTTGGTCTCAGGTTCTCTAGAGTTGGTATAGTTAGAAAATAGTTACCTGCTTATTAGCACTTCGATGCAAATTTACATATATTAATATCTATATCCTATGTTGAAAATTATGAGGCCATAGTAATTTAATTCTGATACAGTATTTGTATAGCTATGCCTCTTTACACATATTTTCTGTATCTGTGTCTATATTGAAAGTTCATAAACTCAATGACTTTACAAAATGTAAATGTAATCTAGAAGATTTATGCCTATTATCACTATTTCTCATCATATTTATGACTTGTTTCAGTCCAAAGATATGACTTCCTTTATCTTAAGTCATTTGCTTATTTGATTCATCTCCTTGTTGCTTACTGCAGCATAGCTTCATGCAGGCCCCTCTTGTTCTTGCCCTGCATGGCAATCCTTTTCATCTGCTTTAGGGTTTGGCAGCTTCACTCTGCTACTGCCCACGTTCCCCTCTGGTTGACCTTCACTTGCTCTAATATCACACTCCTACCCTGCTACTTTTAGGGGAGCAAACCTTAATCAGATTGTGACACTTGTGTAGGACTGTTCTGACGCCCTAGTGTGGAGATTTTCCTTTTCCTTGCCTGGTCCCACCTCATGGTTTTAAGAATAAAGTATTTGAAGAGGATGGAAGAGGGGTGAAAGGAAGAATGAATACGTAGATTTAAATCTTCAGTCCATCTAAATTAATTTTATGACCTGACAAAGTATGTGTCTTTCCCTCTGACCTGGTTAGTCTTTCCATGCTATCCTTGAACTTACAGAGATCCTCTTGCCTCTGTCTCTTGAGTGCTGGGATTTAAAGGTGTGTGCTACCATCTTCTGGCATTGGTTAGTCCATTAAAAAAACTACTACTGCTGAGCAGTCTTTTTTTTATTGGTTGTGTCATTGCTAAAATATTGGGTATGTGTTGGTATGCTTCTGTATTTTTTTTTTTTGCATAGACTAATATATATACCCAGTTCTCCTGATAAGACTTTTATTGTACTACTGTATAGTATTTTATGTCATTATAGCATTGCACATTTTTTTTTTGCATAAAATATTTATTTTTCCTGATATTAACAAAATTCAGTTTAATTTATTTTAAACTGCTCTGGCTGACCTGGAACTTGTTCTTTAGACCAAGCTGGCCTAGAATTTAAAGAGGGCCCCCTCCCCCACCTCCCATCTCTGCCTCCAGAGTGTTTGGATTAAAGGCATGCAAGTGCTCTTAACTTCTGAGCCAACTCTCCAGCCCCAGCATACAATTCTTAAAGTCATAGTAATAATTTGAAAATGGATTATTGAATTTTGGGAGACTTCACTCCAAGATGAATGTCAGTAAATAATGACTTCCAGTTATTTATTTGTTGTGCTGCATCTTTCCAGGACAAAATTGAGGACTTTGTAGGCACTTAACTATAGACATGCTTTGTATGCATTGCATAAGCTAGAATTCAAGATGAAATTGAGCATTCTATAGAGGACACTCCAGCATTTGTAGCAAAAGAGCCACAGATATAAAAGGTTGCCAGAAATTAGTTTCTTTTGTTCGATATGCACACGAGTCTTAGACCAACTCTTTTAATGAAGAAATTAGTAAGGGTCACTAATTTTGGTATGTTGGTATTTTCTCTGCACTCTTGGAGGACTCCTGATGTTATCAGTATCAGCTGACTTTGGCTTTTGCATCCATCCTAAAGCAGAGAGTTCAATCCACAGCTGGT